GATCTCCATGAATATAGGAAGATTTAATTCAATACTGTGGAGCATTCCAAATAAATCAATAACATTTGACAGACCCTCCACCAGAAAAGTTACACATATCAATTAAATTTAATTGATAAAAAAATATATAAATATTTGTCTTTTGTTTTCTTTTATATTTCAAATATAAATTTGTAGTCAAAAACACATGGTAAGCAGCCCTGCATCAAGTCGCACTCGCCACGTTCACATGAGAGCTTTAAATCTGATTAAAATTATTTAATTCTGAATATAAATTAATTCCACTTTAAAAAGACCATGTAAACACACTCTAAAATGATTATTCAGAATAAGTGGGTGGTTTATTCTGATTTTAAAGCAGAATTAATTTATTCCTCAATCATGTACAAATTTTTTCTTCTTAAAAATAATTCCGGTCGTTCAGCCCATGCTCGTTGGGTCGCCCGTTGACTCAGTTTGTCTTCTTTCTCCCTTCTCCGACAATCTTTCCTTCTCCTCAGCTGACATATGTAAAACATGATGATTATCAGAATGACTGCGAAAAAAGTTTGTATCATGTTTGTGTCCGTGGCGTAACGACAAACCGAGATGACAAAAAATCCGGTAGCAGCTAAAGTGAGTGTTTGTTGATATAGACCTCAACTCAGAATTATTATTTCCATGTAAACTCGAAGGAGAATATTTTAATTCCAAACTACTTAATTCCAAACAATTAATTTGTAATTAAAATGCATCACGTAAACGAGGCCACTGTGTTTGAACAGAGAAAGAGAAGTATAGATAGAGCACAGCTGGTCACACAGAAATGCCCCAATGAACCCACAAATCACAAACTCTTAAAAGGGGAAGTGATACTTAATCAGCTGTACAAGTACTAGAACCTTGTTGACATAGTGACTGAATATAGCTTAAAACAATGGAAAGTAGTGTTCATTTTATATAGGTCAGTATGCTCAGATCCTCCTTTTTATTAAATGAAAGTAGCAAATCTGACTTGTTGAAATACTTACTACTGTGCAGCAAACACCTGATCAAAAAGGCAAAAAACAACAAAAAACTCCCTTAAAAATAACATTAATAATGAAATATAATAATATACTTACATATATATTTACAAATGTTTTACTGATTTCATTGATCTGTCTGTCTGGATACTTTTTTCACTGTCTGGATACATATGGCATATCAGATACAAATCCATACTGGACTATCCCTAAATCTTTCCTAATCCGAGTCTACCATTTTCCTTCTGCAGGATGTCTTGACTGATTTGTCAGCTGAATGTGAGAATCTGCCACTAGAGGGAGTCTACGGAGCCTGCTATGCTCATAAGGTAAACAAGACAAGTGACTCAACCTGAATATATCTCATGTGTTCTAGCACCTGCTTTGTTGTTTGTTGAATCTATGCTCTCTGTTAACTAACAATAGTTCATAATAAATGATAATAATAATACATTTTATTCTACAGGGAATATGCCAGGCAGCTGGTTATATCTACAAGAAGCTTATCAATGATGGCATCCTCAACCAGGCCTTCTCTATTGCTCCTGTAAGAACAATTCATGTTTCTTGTTGTCTATTAAAGTGCATATAATAGGTCCAACTACTCAATTCATTCAAACATAGTCAACATCATTATATTTAAAGAGGGGTCTTATGCTTTCTCCCACGTTATAACATTGTTCCCTCATCAAAAACATGCCTGAAGAGGTTTTAAAATGTCATCGATGCCTGTTTCAGTAATTTAGTGATCTGGCCGGGCCCTTTTCGATCCCACCTTACGGTTTGAGGGTCTTACGGTCTGTCCACAAGCCTACGTCATCCATGCTCCCACATGACTATTCTCCATAAATATACAACTTCACAATCCTGATGTAATGTGCAGAAGTTTCATTTGTGGAGTGCAAGCTGATTGTGTTGTGATGCTGCTCTGAAGGGGGAGTGACGTGGTACAGAGAGCAAGGGGAGGCGGGACTCAGAGCATCAATAATCAATAAAAGTTAACTTATTTGAATTATTTTGTGTGTAAGCAATAAATGCCCCATAAGAAGTGTAATATCCCCTCTTTAAGATTCAGTGAAAAATCTTGCCTAGGTTTCTCTAGTATAACACATTTGATCAAGTTTATACTGTTAATTCTGCCCAATTAATGTCAAATTCTGATCAATATTTGCCACTGTTTAACCAGACATATTAATTACTAAAACATGTCATGGATTAGCATAGTGATGGAGTTGTGCACTGTTCCCTCACAGGAATATAAACTGGTCATCACTGGGCACAGTCTGGGTGCAGGCGCAGCTGCTCTGTTAGCTGTCATGCTGAAAAATTCCTTCCCCACGTTGAAGTGTTATGCCTTCTCGCCACCAGGGGGACTAGTGAGGTAAGAGTTCCTTTTGAAGTGTTAGTATTCTAGTCAAATGTATTTTCTATTTAAAAAAGGCTGTTCTGTAATGTTATTTAATCACACTGGCTTCAGGACAGATGCAAATTAAAGCACAACATTAAAGATGCACTATGTAACTTTTCTGGTGGAGGGTCTGTCAACTGAGTCACAAACCAGGAAGACGTTTGGAAAGATGCGATTACAACTTCCCAGGCCCAGTTTTCTTCATCTCCATGTCATTGTAGCGTTCTGTTGTGTTCGGCTAATCAACAATTACAACCATACCTCAGTTTTCATCATTTTCCCCACTCCGAGTTCACTGGATACATGCGATTAGAAGAGACGAGGTGCCAAATTCATGATGATTCCAAACAGCTAATACGTATGCAGTCTTCATTTTACATTTACTTCAGGCTTCATATTTGGAAATCCGATCGCGAGCATTATAGCAGCCACAAGAGCCAGTCATGATTGAGATTGTTAGATGTGCCCACCCTTCTCACCGGAAAGCAGGAAGGGGGCTTAGTTAGCAACAAAACAAACTAGCTGTCAATCAAACCTGTTGCTAACACTAACGGGAGCGACCTCGGGGAATGAAGGCATCTGCTTGATCTGTTATTTATTCATATCTTGATTTAGGGACAAAATGGCAAAATGAAAAATTCAGGATCATGTAGAGCAGGTTAATACAAACATTTTCAGACCAAAATGCACTGCAGTAAGAGCCGCCTTGCACACTTCCTATTTGCAACGTGGCGGTTAGCACATTAGTTATGTCCATATATACGGTCTATGTAAAAATTAAACGTAAAAATCTTGAAAAACAGGCATTGTTAGTGTGAGAAAGCCCACCTCTCCACAGATCTATCCTGTAATGTAGCCTTGTGGCATCACCTGCTTGTCTCCATGGGGATATTGAAGTTTATTGCCATACTGTGGAATGTTCTGGGAAAAATAATGTCAACAGACAATAGATTATAGACATACAGGTAGCTTTCCCTCCATCAGAACAGTTACATAGTTCATCTGTAATTTAACTAGATTATGGACCTAAATATTAACCAATAATGATCCAGTGTATTCTTTTTAAAAATTGTGTCTCCTAATCTCCTTAATATTGTTGGTCACTACCATCCATCTTAGATTTTGAATATTGTACTTCGAGCATGTGAACACAGCCTGGTTTATATGAACATAGATAATTAGTCTTTCTCGTTATAAGTAATAGGATTAAATGACCCTTCATAGTTAATTCTGTGTTTTTTACTTGTATTTGTTTTTCTGCAGTAAGGCTTTGGCCGATTATACCAAGGACTTTGTAATATCTGTTGTTTTGGGGAAGGATCTCGTTCCCAGGTAAGACAAAACTACTTTATTAAAACTTTTACTTTCTTCTAGTAAAACAGCAAAGAGAAAAATGCATGTACATGTAGTGACCAGTCTATTACAGGCTTGAATGTGATGTTCAGTCTATTTGTGGAACTGCCCTGTTATTATAGGCACAACACACAGTGCTTCTTTACTGCTGTTTATTTAAATGTGACTTTTCCGCACAGACTAAGTCTTCCAAACATGGAGGATTTGAAGAGGAGGATTCTCAAAATAGTGTCAAATTGCAACAAACCAAAGGTAAGTAACCGATCATCAGTGGCCAATATTACTAATAGTAGTGCATGGAGGGATGCAGCTTATTTCATTCTTTGGATGTCAACTGCATGATTACATGAAAGTTTAAATCATACTTTGGAACATTTTCCATGGAGATAGTGACGTGTTCCTACATTTTTCCGGGCAGTACAGTGAATATCCTAAATGGAAAAAAAAACATGACTTTATATTTTGGCTAAAAAGTTCCACAGGAGAGCTTTAATTAAAATATACTGAGAGATTAAAATGGTTGGCATTCACATGTTGGTTTTGTCATTATTATTTACATTGCTATTAGCATGGCCATGTTTCAGAATCAAAATATCAAGTGCTTTTTACAATATTTCTTAAATTGAAATTGTACATATGAGGGTGCACAGTGTGTCTTCTAGTGTATTTCATTAGTATCAACACAATAAAACTGTGGACATTTTGATCTAATTATGTTTATGAAACAGGCCCTAATTAAGTTTGAATGCTAATTGTTTTCTGAAGATGTCCGAGCTCAGTAGGTGGTGCTACTGTTTCCTCTGAAATGCCGGATTATGTGCCAGTTAAAAACAAAGCTTGTCGTGTTATTTCAATAAAAGTGACCCCATACCAGGAAGAACAAAAACATGGATATCCCCCATTGTCCTCCTCTGTTTGCTACTGCTATTGTTCTCTGAGCTATTGCTAGGCTACGGTGTGTTGTGCTTTGCTAACGCATCAACGACATTTGTCCTACTCATAGATCCATGCTCCTACGGCAACCCAGAAGAATATTTGATTCTGGAGAAAACTACACCTAATGCTAATGCTATCTTATTTGCAGTGTTAAATTTGGTCATTGACTTCATGTAGGTCATGGAATGTTTCTGTTCTTGAAGAAATATTCATTCATTAGTAGAGTATTGTTCAAGTTGAACTTTTCATCTTATTGTTTTGTGTGAAATATTCCACAGAATGGTATTAAACATATCTATCTTGCATTTACTGAATTGTTTTTATGGCTATATCTTGAAAAAGAGAAATGTGATTTTATCTGTAAATGATTTGTGACCAATGAGCTCCTTCATTTCAAATGCATCAGTGAAAAAAAAAAATCTGACTGGACCATCATGTCCATGATCATGAGAGATATTCTGGATGTCATCTTCGTTGATTTCTGCTGACAGACTATGTCTATATTACATTTAGTTTAGATTACACGAGATTACAAATACATTATTATCGCGATGGACATTAATTTCAGGCAGCACAATACATAATAAGAATAACAACAATGGAATTATATAGAAGTATTATACAGCCATATGTTGTGTGAAACAAATGACTTCCAGACTTCCAACAGGACAGGGACAACAGCCTGTCCCCAAAGGTATAGGAGGTAGTTTCATGTGGATTAAAGTGCAAAGTCTACTATAGAATTCTTTACCCCCCCTTTGAACTAACTATTATATTCTGTACAATATCAGGTAAATCCAGCCTATAGCACATCCCTGTACCTCCATGTAACCACTATCCTTGTGTGTTCCAGTACCGTATCCTGCTGCAGGGCTGTTGGTACGAGATGTTTGGGGGCGACCCAGATGACTTCCCCACAGAGATGGACAACAGGCGGGAGGAGGAGCTGAGCCAACCGCTCCTGGGGGAGGAGTCGCTCATCATCCGTAACTCCTCATCCTATCAGAGCCTGGCGTCTGACGACTCTCCCGCTCACGCAACCACGCACTTACCGCTCTTCTTACCTGGGCGCGTCCTGCACATCACTGAAGACGGACCCACGCGGAGGTGAGTATCGAGTATTGAATACCCAGAGAAACGGGTGGGCGCCCTGCACCAAACACTGTTAAATTAAGAGAGTTGAGTTATAGATTTGGTTCAGAATACGATTGTTAAAAGTACTGAAAATCAGATACGAATCAATACTAAAACTAATATTGAAACTAGACACTTATTTCAGCATTACAAAACTTGGACTCACAGGCTTTTCTTTAGCATGGTGGCGCAGTGGTTAGTGCGCTCACCACATAGCAAGAAAGTCCTGGGTTCAACTCCCAGTCTGTGTGGAGTTTGCATGTTCTCCCTGTGCCTGCATAGGTTTCCTCTGGGTGCCAGCATGAAAAACATGTACATGTAATCTTGGTCCATGTAGGACTCCCCTGAAAATGTAGTTTTAAAGTTCAAGTAGGTCTATTCTAGTTAAATAAAAATCAATAAATAAAACTTCTATCTTCAGTTTGAAAAGAGAAGAGGCTGGCTCATTTGTGATGTGAGGTTTGTGAGCAAGTTGGCTCTTTTGAACGGTTCCTTAATGTAAACAGTTGGATCTGCCCATCACTATGGCTGACTAGGCCAGGTCCATCCTCCTGACATAGGTATGAGATGAACATGTGTTGTGCCCTTTTCCAGGCTGTTTAGGAATCCAATTTTCTTTTTAAATGTAATTATTAAAAGTGGAATGTTTATGTTGAAGACATTATTTGGGTCACATTGACATTTTACAGTGATCAGATACATCTTTGTTTGCCTTCATTGCTTCATTCTCCTCAGTATTCACGAGAAAGAGCACTGTGTGAATAAAAAAGTATGACAAATGACTTTGTGATGCAGGCGTTATACAACAGTAGACTGGGGCAGACGATGTGCTGTAGCCTCAAACACAAGAGTCACATGGAGAGTCTCCTAGGAGTGCCACATGATGGGCATTGTTTTTTTAATACACTCCAGTTTGAGGTGTTTCTGTTCTGTGAAAACAGGAAGGAACAAATTTAATGCTAGAATTTACTAAGTATAATAATGCATAATCTAGTTTGTTATTTACATAATTACAGGGATGTTGAGAAATCTTTAATGGTGGTCATCTGTTTTTGCAATCAAGACATTACGCCTGCCATCCAGAGGCCATTTTCAGTTTGATGCTACTGGCTTGCAGCACTAGGAATTTATCATACTCTGAGTGAACCAGGTCCAGTCCAGGGAGGAGTTTTAGTGAAAGTGCCCTACCCTTGTTTACTAGCTCACTCACTGTAAAACTCTTCCCTTTGGGGCTGGACTTGGTTCACTCAGAGTATGATAAATCAAAGCGAATGAAGGATTACACCGTATCCTTGTAATTACTAACATGAAACAAAAACTGGCACAAAATCCCATCATCTTCCGTGCACACAAAACAATGGAATATTAGCCCACCACAAAGGTACAATCCCATCATCAAACTCCACAATGTTAAAGTTGCATATTTATTGTATGTATCTTTGGTCCTCAGGTCGTGTTTCTCTCGGGTGCGTTACCGTGCCGACTGGTCCAATGAGATGGCTTTCCGCAGCGTCCTGATCAGCCCACGGATGCTCACTGACCACATGCCCGACGTGGTGCTGCGGGCGCTCCATAGCCTCACCACGGAGCGGCCATATTCACTGTGTCCCTCCGCCTCGGCATACAACCAGCACAACCCCATCTGAGGAACCACTCGGAGAACTCCCATAGTCTTCATGAATCAGACATTGAAAACTAAATGTGTGAATGTGTGAAAGGAAACACAAGTCCAGGTATGTTTTGATGAGGAAACCACACTATGACACGGTGGCTAACGGCTGAAATGTCAGTTTAGCGGAATATAGGACTTAATCTAACTCCTGTAAGCCGTGGAACATGCTCTGGAATTTTAAGTCTTTAGTTTCATTACGGGCTATTATTCTTTTGATTGTAAGCAGGGATTGAGATTTACCAGATGGCTATTCCATAAAGCTAACCCGGTAAAATAACAGTCCAACTTTAGATAAACTGGAACATGTGATAGTTGCACAATACAAAATGTGACGCCTATTTCTATTGTTATAAAGATACTATGACTTCGGTTTTGATCATTAACCCACCGATTTTGATATAACTGTGAATATGTTTACATATACACCAAAAATTGATGATTATGATCTGATTTCTGGGTTTATCAAAATATTGAAATGTCATGTAAACATCTAATGAGAGTAATTTAATTTCTTTCTCATTGTTCACACACATGCAAATTTTGTCAAGGTGTATTTGAGAAACATTATACAAAAGGGAGTTATTGTTAAATGAACTGTACTTTCATTTAAGAATTTTTGACAATCCTACTTATTTTCATGTCAAATGGGGAACTAGGAAAGCTAACAGACCAAGTTACAGGAAAATTTCAGTTTATAGAATAGTATAGTGTTCCAATGTATTTGAGGAACATTGTAACAAAAAAGGGAGAACTAATGTGGTTAAGATAAAACATTTGAGTCATTTAAAAAATTCATTCTACTTTTCCATAGCCCATTCTAAAACTATCCATTAAAAGTCAAACAATTCAGTTATCAATTGTTGACAACCATACTAAATTTCAATTAAAAAGACAACATTTCAATAAACTACAGATTTACACTAATTTTTCTCAAGTACCACAGAAAACAAAGCTTCTTCATCTAAAACAGGACTAAACCATAACCAAAAACAAGCCAACAGACAAGGTACAAATGTAGACGAGCCCATTCACCTTCATTGGAATAGTTTTATGGAATAGCCCTGCGCTGGGTTTCCATTACAAACCTGACACGTTAGGTTGGAGCACAATTCGTTACCAAGCACTTTTAACACAATAATTTTATTTAATTTTATTTAATTACTTCCTTTTTGAGCGACTTAATGCCATGGTAAAAGAATGTGCGTTGTGAACAATATTTGTATAGTCAGTGTTTTATGTGCGTGACTGCTGTTTGTTTGATGGTTCAATTACCCAGATATGTATGACTGAATTCTTTCCAAACTTAAAGGGTAGCAGCCATCCTTCCTGTGTTGTTAGTACCTGTGTATGTTTATGGTGTATCGTCATAACACATCAAGGTGAACAGTGCCTATGCTTAACTAAAAACAATGGGGCGGTGGCTACATGCTGTATGATTTGTGCATGAAAAGGCCATAAGATTGTACCCAGACCTGCTATTGTTTACACTATGTTTGTTTTTTCCGGAAGTATTATTTGCTTGCATTCATATTTCAGATTAAACATGATGTGACTGCATTGGGCTCCTTGATACAAATAAATTGTAATCAAATGCCTATAAATTTCGACTTTTGGTTTTCATAGTATGTATGTTGTTTTTTTATAGATTTGTGTAATAAGACATTACCCAAGTTTTATACATAAAAAGGTGCATTATGCAGTGCTGGGAACTAATTAAATACATGTGCAGAGAATATGTATTGTGAATACAATCTCTAAGTAACTGTATTGTGGTACAGTTACTCTTTCATTTGGTGTTATTCAGAATAAAGTTACTTTTCTAATATCAGGAATACATTACAGTATTTGATCAAGTAATTTGGCTTTAAACTGGGCATAATTAGTGAGAAAAACAGGAAACATTGCTTCTAGTGTGGCATGTGTGATTTTTACTTCTCCAGTTAGTGATGGGAAATGCTTTAAAACAGTGAAACAAACATAAAGCTGTTATTAATACTGTGTTGCATCTTTACACTATCATTTAATGTGATGTAAATATCCAAGTATTCAGAATACAGTTCTTTGATTGGACCATGTATCTGGATACGTTGCAAAATACTTATACATAAGTATATAGAGATTTTGTATTTTATAACTACTTAAAAGGCAACACTCTTAACCCATCTCACTCCCAGTCTGTCTCTACACTGGTGGATGAGTGTGTGTGTGAATGGGTGAGTGGTCTCTTGATGTAAATTGCTTTGAGTGCCTTGAAGGTGGAAAAGCCCTGTATAAAAATGTGACCATTGACCATATGTAACCATTAAAAGTATTCTTCCCTTCACTACCGCAATGTTACTTTTAGGGTGGCAGTCTGCCTCCAGGGAGATATTGGTTTGCCTGGAATGTTTCACTCTATGTCATTAACTTAGCCAAAAGTAACCAAAACTTGTACTCAAGTAAGAGTAATGTTATGAATAATATTACTCCAGTAGAAGTACAAAGCAGTGGTTCAAAAAATTACTCAAGAGTTTAAATGTATTTGGGAAAAGTACTTCAAGTAAGAGTAAGTTAAAAAGAGTAACTGTGTGGATGTAACATCTGCTTTATAGGGCCAAGTTCATAGAATTTGGAAGGATAAAACTTTAAATAATGCACAAAATCTGGTATTTTCATTTTAGGACAGAAATAAATGAGACAAACTAAATAATATGTGAAGGAGCGCTGCAAAAAACACAAATGCTCAAATCATTCCAGATGCACACTGTGCATAAGTCTACAACTTTTACCAAATACTGTTACTTCAAAATAAAATATGACATAATTAGGAGTAATGGTATGCCGCTACTACAACCCACCTCTATTAATTTATCCATTTCTATTGAGACAAGCAGGGGAAATCAACAGGCCAAATAACAGTGAAGAACTCTGGAGAGGTGATTCAACTCAGAATAACAGACATATTGTGGAACATTCCAGACAAAGCAATAACATATCCGTGAAAACAAACCTGAAAAGTTACACTGGCCAGCTTAAAGTAGAGTGGGAAGAGTGGTCCACATTTTTTAACGCTATGTTTACTACCAACCTAGTATGTACACTATTACACTAAAATGGTCTTAAAAATATTAAAAACTTTATGAAACTACCTGAAATATGTTACTAACAATGTTATATTGTTTTGTCATCATACTGTATAAAATATTTTAATGGCTTAATATGATTTTAAACAATCCTAACAGTTATGACAAGACAGTTTATTGAAGTACTTATGACATAATATATAACTAAAAGGTACGCATTTTTCATCCTGGTTCATCTTCACTTCACTTTCTGGCAAACATTTTGAAATAAATGAATCTACTCCAGGAAACTTTATCTTGTCAACCACTCCAAACTCAGCAGGCTTATGTTTAACACATTTTGCATCTGAACATCTCTTCACTAAATATTTCTTACTTAGACTTAGACCAAATCCTTTAGTCCAAATTCAGTTTGGCTGAGGCCAGTAGTCGTCCCTGTGCCCCTCCCTGAGTGTCCTTACCACGTGAAGCCAGTCAAAGCAACAGTCAAAACATAGGGCGTCTTCACGTGCACTGCAGTAAATACAGTTCTTCTAGTATATGCAAAGCTTATAGTAAACATATGATTGGTACTAAGTTGTAATATATAAAATACAGCTCTACATTGCTTTAAGATCTCACAATATTATCTTTTAATGCAGTTATAGGGTGACAAAATAAAGAATTACAAAATAAAAAACTGGGACATACCCGGTTTTAGTGGTTGGTAATAATAAAATTGTGAAAGGAGTGGGTAATTAAGGAAAATGATTATGCAGAGACCATTCATGACTAACATGTGAGTCAGTATAGTCACATATTCTTTGTATTTTGGTAGTTTTTAAGCAGATTTTTTGTATTTTACCTAAACAAATGACATTTTTTACCCCTCTTTACTGTTGGAAGGGATCAAATTGGTCAAAAATAGGGATACTTGGGATATTTCTTGTATAAAACTGGGGCAAATCAATGGTTTTGTATAAATCTGCAAGGACAGGGGACACAGGACTGGGACTGTCCCGGGTAAACAGGGACGTCTGGTCACTCTATGCAGGTAGGCTTATATCAAAAATGTGTTTTATAAAGTGTGGAATTATTATTACGACTGATCACAAGCAGTTTGTTTTCAATATTAATAAAACACTACTAAAGACATAATGGTTCCTTAATAACATAGATGTACTGCATGTGACTTATTTGTGAAGAAAACTATTTTTAAACTTCTGTGACCCGCTCAGAATCTCCTCCCCGCACATGATTTCTGCCTCCGCTTCTGTCCCGTGTTCCATAGTTCCGAGGCTCCGTGAACGCGGCGGCAGGAGCTCATCTGTTGGACGCAGGGAAACTAATCAGCGGAGCCAAGTTAAGACTTCAGCCCGCGGTGCTAGCTCCCTGTCGGGCTAGCGAGATCCACAAGCCCCCGGAACCAGCAGACACTGTGTGGAAGTTCCAGCAACAGTCATCCGCACGGGAATAGCCATGTTTTAGAAAAGTTTTAGCGCAGTGGAAAGTACCGGGGCGGGTTGCTTAGTGGTATCCAGCTGGAGGGACTCGCTCTCGGCTTAGCACTTTGCCGTTAGCCGTGGGGAAAAATAAGTGCAAAAACATGGACCTGGACGAAGTAGTTCTGTACCACGACGACTCGGGCAACTCCGCCGTCATGTCCGAGCGCGTCTCCGGTCTGGCCAGCTCCATCTACCGGGAGTTCGAGCGGCTCATCGAGAAGTACGACGAGGACGTGGTGAAGGAGCTGATGCCGCTGGTGGTGGCCGTGCTGGAGAGCCTGGAGACGGCGTGCGGAGTGAGCCAGGAGCGGGAAGTGGAGCTGGAGCTTCTGAAGGAGGACAACGAGCAGCTGGTCACGCAGTACGAGAGGGAGAAGGCGCTAAGGAAGCACGCCGAGGAAGTGAGTCCGAGTCCGGCGTAACTTCGCGCAAGTTTGCCGTTCGGTCCGCGGTGCAGATTTAGCCATGCGCGTTACCGAACTCCATGCGTAAAAGCAGCTTCATTTGAATACAGTTGGAATACGTTTGTTTTGTTACACCAAAGCTGATCTATGTCTAAAATACACTATGATATTAAACTGTGTCTTACATTCGGCATGCTTTAAAAACTATTCATATTGTCTGTGACCCAGGGAGCACTACATATTAACTTAAGACTATACGCTTTGCTTAACCCCAATGTGCCAAAGCTATTATGATCTGACTTATAACTAAAACACAATATAGCAATAAACCGTGTCTTACATTTGGCATGCTTTAAAAATATTCATACTTTTTGTAAAATCTTATTGTACTCAAATGCATTAACATTAGTACACGCTAGTGCAAAGAAAGTACACACGATAAGTACTGAGCCCTGAAACATATTGTTCCATCTTGTCATTACTGTAGGGTGACCAGATTTTCAAAATAAAAACCTGTAATAATAACGGTAATAGTAAAATTGTAGAACAGGTGCGTAATTAAGGAGTCAGTATAGTCACATTTTCTTTGTGTTTTGGTCATTTTTAAGCAGCTTTTCTGTACTATACCTAAACAAATGACAATTAGTCCCTCTTTACGGTAAGCAGGGATCAGAGGATCAAAAATAAGGACACTTGGGGCATTTCTTGTATAAAACTGGGACAAATCACTGGTTTTGCATAAATCTGCTGGGACATGGGGCACTGGGCTGAAACCTGGGACCGTCCAGGGTAAATGAGGACATCTGGTCATCCTACATTATTGTTCCATCATGTATTGAACGATAAGCCAATATAGTGTAAAGTAATCATAGGGACAGGCTCATGCGTACACTAAGGTGTGACAGAACACTGGATTGTTTGGTTTACTTGGTTTGAGTACACTCTACTTGACTCAGTTCACACAGTTTTCAGTTAGTGTGATTATGTGATTCAGACTATAACTATGTTCCAGGCTGAACATTGTACACATTTATACCACTCATTTTGCTTTGGTGGCAAATATTAAAGAATATAGTATAGCTGCACAATCTATCGCAATATTGTCTGATACAAAAATCAGTATTGCAATAACTCAAATTTCAAAACAGTAGATTGTTTTTATGATTTTCTTTATTAGGCTCTACGTTAGACTTGGGTTGGTCTTAGTTTAGTGTAGTGTTTGTTAAATTTGTATTTTGATGCAGTTTGACTAGTAAATGATGGCATGTGCATTTTTTTGCTTTGAATTAACAGAACGTATTGTGCCAAAATAATAATAATAATAATAAATAACTTAATAATAATAATAATAATAATGCTTCAGTTTTATATAGCACTTTTCTGGACACTCAGAGACGCTTTACAGAGCACTCCATACCTGGAGGTGGTAAGCTACTATTGTAGCCACAGCTTTCCGGTTGCAGACTGACTGCAGCATCAGTCCCTCTGACCACCACCATCACTCATGCACACACCTCTTTCATACTATTCAATGTGAGTGACGTGCTTCTTTTATTATCAAAAACCTATGAATAAAATACAAAAAAACAGTGCCTTGCCTAAGGACACATATATATAATATATGATATAGTATAGTAAAATAATACAACATACGCTTGTATTCAGCATCTGTCGTTACACTAGTCCATGCTGCTATAGTTAGCTGATCCTAATGAAATCATGATGGGAAAGAGTTAGTGTACAGGCTGTTGTGTGTGTTGACAGTGACTCATACGGGTTTAGTTTCTCCTCTGTGCGAACACTTTCAGAGACTTAGTATGATGCAAATGCGCTGGAGTTTGTTTATGTGGTGGGGCTTCAGGCACTCTCACTCCTCTGGTTACATCTGTGTTGCTGTATGTGCTAATAAACCTTTATGGATTAACTGTGTTGACAGTTGCAGGCGCCTCTGTCCACCACATAAGCTTCTGTACAGGGCATATGTCACCCGCTGTATACAACCATCTATTTCTGCCAGATTAACAATGCCTTTTCAAGTTGTAGTCTTGTTTGAATGAAAAATGAAATCTGGCAACTCTGACAAGAAACGGCAAAACACACCCTCCGCACACCCCTGTCAGCACTTATTTGCGCTCATGTCATTGCAGAGTCAATGTTTACTTTGACAATGACAGTTTCACTCTCATTTTACATTTTCATTTGTCATTTCTCAGTATGTCAACACAGAACACAAATGCATGGAGTATGGCAGCACAAATTAAGAATAAAAGGGGCCTCATGTAGACTCTATCCTTTTCATCCTTGATCCTTTAATATAGCATGAGTACTGTATTGTGTAGTTAATCCATTGTTTTGTACATGTTTACTTTGAAACAACTACTGCTGCAATGATTAACCAACTAATCGTGACTAGTCAGCTATTAAAAAATATTTGTAGTTGTGACTCTTATAATGCTAATGTTTTGAGGATACTGTATTTTTAGAAGTTAATAAACTTACATTTTAACTTATTTCCACTGAGAGTTTAGTTCATAAAGACCACAGACTGTAAGAAGTGGACTGACTGAGTGTGATGTCACCTGTAGCTCCAGCTAAGTGAAGCTCATCAAGGCCAGGTCAGGATAAACTCTGGGTCCACCATGGTTCACTTCACTACGACAACAAAAGCACTTAAACACAACACACTCACAATAGCGGCAGTTACAGAAAGAAAGCCTATGGTTTTTCAAAATAAAGTGAAGTGGATCCAGAGTGGATGGAGCTGGAAGTGTGCCCCTGTTCACTTCCTATCTGGAACACGGTGGCTATTAACTATAGCTATTGTCATATTAGCTATGTCCTTACTGGCTATGATAAATACTTATTTTTCTTTTGTACTTACTTTTTTACTGCGTTACTGTTATATACATTTTCTTAACTTTATTCCTGCTTACGTAATTGTTGTTTTAACCTTTTTATAATGTGTTCAAAAAGTTTAATTGTTTTAATAGTCAAAAGTAAATAGTTGATTAGTCAACTGCTAAAACAATTGGCAAAGGAGAAATTCAATTTTTCAACTGGACAAAAGTTCTTTTTTTTTTTGGTCAGATACATTTGGTAGCTCATCCAAGCAGCTTCTTTAGTTTTGTGGATTCTACCTGGATGACTGAGGGATTTTACATACATAGTAAAAGAATAGTTAGTTGTAGCCCTAGCAACAGCAAACCTTTAGCTTTTAACCCTGGCTTACACATTCTGTTTGTAATCTGAACTTTTTGTGTGTGTGTAAGAAAACTTGTCGTCAGTTCACAAGTCAAACGCTGAATGACTGGCACAGCAGGTTATGGCCAGGCGTTAATGTTTTTAATAATGGATGACACGTAGCAGCCTGTTGCTAATGCTGTTGCTAATGCCGTTTGACGGATGGTGCCCTTGTACTGTTCTGTGTGTGTGTGTGTGTGCTGTTCTGTGTGGGTGTGTTCAGGTCAGGATGTGAAATGCCCCATGCACTCGTATGTGAAGTGACCAGGCAGCAGGAGAGAGTGACAGACAGGAGAGAGACGGGAGAGAGTGGGGAGAAGAGAGAGAATAGAGAGAGAGAGAAGAAAGAGAGAGAGAGTGCAGAGGTAGAGTAGAGAAAGAGAGAGGAGAGGTAGTATAGAGGAAAAAGAAGTAGTGTAGTATAGAGGAAGAAGAAGTAGTGTAGAGAGAGGAGAGGTAGTGTAGAAAGAGGAGAGCCAGTGCACATGTTTGAACCACATCTGAACCTTGGGCTGATGTCACTGGGCTTTTCTCTGACTGGAGGGACTATTTAAAGTCCAGTGCAGACTGGGCACAGGGTGGGCACAGAGAGGGCACAGGGTGGGCACAGGGAGGGCAGGGTCAGGCACTGTTTGTGGCTTATGCTGTGGATGTGTTGAAGTGCTGAAAAATGACGGGGGAAATATTATGAAATGGTTGCCAGGCGAGCCAAGAATACGCACTTCTCCAGTACTCCACAAATATGTGAAGTCTGAGAGTGCATGGTGCCAGCCAAGGGAAATGGAGTAAAGAAGTAACTAAGAACTACATATAAGTACCACTCTAACCCCAAATAGTAGTGTGAGGAAGGTTTATTAATAATAATCATGCCTTACACTTGTTCTGTGCTTTACAGGCACGTCAAACCCTTTCAGAGGGCTACACTGTAGTCATTATACAGTCACTCCACATACTGTAGTTTAATTCCTTGTGTAGCCCCAGCTGCCCTGAAACAGACTGACAGAGCAAGGCTGCTAATCTTCCCTCTAACCACCACCCATCAGATGAGTGCTTGAACCACTGAACCACTGCGTTTGACTTTGGCTGGATTCTTTTGACCCCTGCAGTGTCCTGACCGTCACTCTGTAAAGCACAGCTCTGGTCAGTGCATCGATAATGACACCAACAGCAGGCCCAGTGTACATTGTGTGTCACATGAGTCCTGTTCTTAAAAGAATAAGGGTTTCCATAAAAAAAAAAATCCCATCACAAGAAGCTCCAGGAAAACATGACTCCGCAGCAGAAGTCAGGAGGATTGTCACTCTGTGATAGTTCAAATGATACACCCCAAAGGATTACATAATGCTGCTTTGTCAATATTATAATTTTTTTGTTCTCTGTAGGGCTGTCGAAAATGGATAATATCCATACTAATCCATATTAATAGAAGGTTATGTAAGCATAGAGCCATGTCCCAGGCCGGTGCAGTGAGTCCAAAGCCCTGGGTCCTCTGTGTGAGCAGTCAAAGGAAGGGGCAAGGCAGGAAATGCTCTCAACTACTGCACTTCCTCCAGCTCTGTCTGCTGACCAATGACAGTACTCCAGTGGTGTGTGGGGGGCTTTGGTCAATTGTGTATGAGTCTACTGTAAGTCCCATAATGTTCTATAGTGTTTCAGCACTTACATTTCCTTCAAATCTTATATCTGTTAGTGTCTTTTTGACAACTTCCGCTGTCAGTTTGTCTTTTCAAAATGCTTAAAGTGCTTATCACAGGTTT